TCTGTGCCGTTAGCCATCCATCACGATGCCTGGCTCCTAGTGGCTTTTACCTGGCAAAATGTAGGAACAAACTAGGTACTGTCTTGGTCCTGTTGCTCTCCTGCTCAAGAATCTCTTTTTAGTTAGAGCAAGCCCTAATCTTGAACCTAACTTCATTTTAATGAATTTTAATTTGTTACTTAAACACTCAAAACCACACAAAGTGCAAATAATGTATAATTTTACCTCCGTTTCTGAAACTAAGTAACATACGAAGTGAAATTCCCCACCCATGGAAATCTAAGCCTGAGTAACCATCTCTTCCACCTAACCTTCATTTCATTCAAGTCACTTGTCATGGGATCCATTGCATGCCATGTGGAATTTCTTTATTGCCTTATTATGAATGGAGTTGCCCTGGCCGGAAATCTACTCTTCCTTATGTCTCTCTAAAACCTGCTCAGCTGAGGTTCCAACTTCCACAGTACCAGCCACACTTCAATATTTATATTTTCTATTATAATTGTTTTCAGGTGGTTATTTGTTCCTCCAGTAAGACTTGTAGTCCTTTATAGCAATCAACCAACTTTTCTTTCTATATTAAAGATATTTAGAGTGCATGTGCAAGCAGCCTCGAACTAAGAATTCAAATGAGCTTTTAAATATAAAGACATTGAATGTTTAAGTGGCATTCATGGGAGTTCCCTTGGCAAGCATGAAAACCCCGCCATGTGTCCGGCACTGTGTTAGAAACAAGGAATTCACAGATTGAGAAATAATAAAGTGTAATGGCAGAACAGAAATGTATCTGTCTTCTCTGCTGTTAATGTACCCAGCACATGCCTCTCATATCCGCTGTGCTATGTTGCAATGCCCTGTAAGTGCCACATGGCCCCCTCCTTGGCGTTCGCACCTCCAGCGCAGGCAATGGGTATTATAATTTTATGTTCTCAGGGTCTGGCACAATACCATGTTTTTGGAGAATGTTTGGAATGAACTGTTGAAATGAACTCCAGTATAATTTGAAAAATGTCCTAATGGAGCCTGAGTGGGTGCTGTGGGAGGAGAGAAGGAGCACCCAGCCTATTTTTTTGTCTCTTGGCCAAAGTGAGCCCCTCTTGCCAAATGACAGCCCCATCAGGCTACATTTGGACACAGTTTCACTTGGACAGTAAGTTTACTTAAACCGATATTGGCAGTCCTCATTTTGTGGATTACATTTTTGAGGAGGCATGTAATTTAGAAGCATGTAAGTTGGCTAAATCCGGGTCTTATATTTCTGAGCAAGGACTTACAGCCCAGATTTTTATAGAAAAGACCTATGTTTAGCAAACTTTAATATACCTGTTTTCTTACACAATATAAAGTTTTCTAAGGTTTATCAGTCTGTTGAATGACCCCACTGGTGTTTTAAAACCCATTTATTTATAACGTTGACATATTTTCCTGAACTGTATATACAGTGGCAATTTCTGAGGAGTAGGCCTGAAATGCCATTCCAATAAGGAAGAGTATGTCTGTGTTTTCTTTTAAACCTTCTGCATTGTTTTGGGTTTTTATTTATAATGAGGATGTTTTACTTTTCTATTAAAAATGAGTTAATAGAGTTGATGTAAATCCCAACTATTTAAGGACAAGAAGCTTAAGAAATTTTGTGCAGAGTAGCTACAGGCTGGAGTGGGGAGGGGAAATATAGGACTATGAGGCCCCACGAAGAGTGGTTTCCTCCAAAGCAGAAGCAGTAGTTCCGGGAGAAATGGCAAAACAGGGCATGGGGCTGTGGATGGCCCTGGAGCTGGTGAGGGAAGGTGTTCAGGTGCTGAAGCATGTGAAGAGGCAGATTTCCAGGGAAGGTGGTTTATGCAGTTGCTAGCTTTACAAAGCTTCCAGTTCAAAGGTGTCGGTGATTAGATGAGCTGTGTCAGCGCAGGCTGCTGAATGTATGGGCTGCTGCCATTGGTTTGATGTTGTGGCTAAGTGTGATGGAGACCAGGAAGGTCAGAAGAGCTTCCCGTGATGTTAGGACCTGGCACCAATCAAAGCATTTATTTAAATGCATTATTAAGTTACAAAAAAAATTTTCTTTCCTTATGATTTGAGTGAAGGAAACGTGTCATTAAACATCAGAAAACAAAGGATACTGTCAAGATGGTCAAATGACTGTATTTTGAAGGCTAAAGCAGGTTCAGCATTATCTAATAAGGGGTGTAATTTCCTGCACCCCACATTGGGATGGGATAATATTCCTTTATTCTTGCCTGTTAAAATCAAAAGAATTTATTTTAGAATGTTAATAGTTTTGTTTTCTGTAAATTCAAGTAGGTCACAAATGTATATTGAAATAACTTTTGCTGCTGTACTTTTAATACATAAATGCATTACAGTTATAAAAGATTCATATAATTCAGATATATATGTGTGTGTGTAAATATATACATATATATATAATTTTTAATGTGTTTCAAAATTCTACCACCCTCTTCCCAAATTAACTTCTCCAAGCTACTTCATAACACACACGCGTGCGCGCGCGCGCGCGTGCGCGCGCGCACACACACACACACACACGGTTTTATTATATCATCCTCCAGATACCCTGCAACTTCCTTTTTTTTTTTAGAGCATATTCTCAGCCATTGTTTATAATTCCCCTCGTGCTTTTTGATGGTTATTGTATTCTACAATTTGAATGCATCAGATTTTTATTCTACTTAAATTTGAGGACAAACAATTACGCTTTCTTCTAGCAGGATTCATGCCTAAAGAAGTCCTAAGGGACTTTACAGAGAATGATAGGAATTTTAGAAATTCTACATTCTATGAGCTGATATTAGGAGAGAAGAATGAAATGAGGAGAGGGAGTTACAGGTAACAATAAAGATCAGCAGAGGCCCTTGTAAAATTAATTCCAAATGCTTATTACTATAACTTTTTGGCGAAAAAGCTTATTGGTGCAGGTCATATTTTTTAAAAAAATCAGACCTTGTAGATAACAGCTGATTTATGAAGTGTATAGTCCTTTTTAAAAATATAAATGCTTTGTTCTTTTCATCCTTTAGTTCTTTGTTTTACCTTTGGAATGTTTATCATTATTTCTTAGGAAATAATCCTGCTAGCAGGAAGGGCTCCTTGCTTTTAAAAAAAAAAATGAAGCAAGAAAAGCAATAATTTGTGGATATGATGGTCATGTATTTTGACCGTGATGAAGAATCTACTCACCAGCTGTAGACCGCTGTTTTATTAAAATATAGGTTGCAGCATTTTAGACAGCACATGAACCTTTTATGGAGTGATAAGCTGTTTTGTGCCCACTATCCTCCCCCGAAAGAGCAATACTATAATTTGGCTATAGACTTTCACCCACACATTTCCAATGTAAATTTGTTAACATTTTAGAGGTTGAATTAGCTGCTTCATGGTGGTCATTTAATACATGAATACCTACTTAGACTCAATATTGAAAGGTGAAGAGTTGACATTTTCTTTTTATAAAACTAGAAACTGTCACTTTTTATAATGTAATTTATTTTAATGAAGTATTTTTTTTTAGCCTTTAAATTCTCTTTTTGGCTCTATTTTCTCAATTTTCAAAATTTTGGTATTCAGTGATTTCACATTTTGGTTACATTTTCTATTCCATTATTTCTTTGCTTGCAGTAACTATTAATATATGTTTTATAGCTTTTCTGAATCATGAAAGCTCCAAATACAGTATTGGCACTGAGAGCCTTGTTCAATGAATAAAAATGACACTGAGGAGTTTCATAGAGCTTTACATGCTGTTAATTACCATTAATTAAATCTGTTGCAAGGAACAATGTACTATTATTATCTGTTGAAAACCTGACCTTTCAATTAAGCAATCTGCCAACCCTCTCTCCTTTCTTCTCTTTGACGAGTAGCTAACAGTATATTTATTTTTACCTGTGCAAGCCAATTATGTCTGACCCACAAGGGAATCTGACCTAGAGTACAAGATAAATTATTGCTTCTTTTTACACCTTGTTGTAAAGTGTGTTGTTTAGTGGAAACATATACGTTTCTAATCCATTATTGCTTTTGGGTGCAGACTACCTATTATGATCCGGTTGATTTACATGTATTATTACAAGTTCTCACGATAGCCTTGTAAAGTCAGTGACGTCTCTGTTTTACACAGAAGGAAATAGAAGCTCAGAGAGGCCTGTAGTTGTCCAGAGTCACAGAGCTGCTAAGGAAGGGCACAGCTGGGATTCAAACCCAGATGAGGCAGACCTGACAGCACTTCGGTTTCACAAACTGCTCCTAGGAAACGCGTGCATTAGAGAGACCCAGGACAGATTCGGAAGGCAGTCAGTTTAGGAGGCTTCCAGAACCAACTCAGCTACTGCTACCTATATGAGGTCTCTCTGTTAGTCTCAGGTTCCTTTTGGCAAAATAGGGCCAGTACTGCCCACCTTGTAGGGTTATTATGAAGACTAAATGGATGCATGTAAAGGGCACATACCAAAGGGCACATTGTGTGTTTAAAAAAAAAATGACCTAAACTACCCCTCCAAGCTGGACACCCTCTGATGTAAGTACATGCCAGCATTGACCAACATAAACAAAATTTTAATTTACTGTCCTGAAACAGAAGATACTGATTAGAGTATTCCCTTTGTGTTTTTCATTGTAGGTCTTTTGAAGAGCAGAACAGATTTCAATCCCAGCAGCAATGTAATTTGTAGTGGGGGCGTTTCCTTTTTCTTTGTAATCCTTTGTTTAACTCCATTTGGAGTTGCAAAAATTTCTAAAGGGTTCCATGGTGCCTAGGGCCCAGGGCTAGAATTTTGTCTTAGTTTATTGATGTGGTGAGCTGTTGGAAGAGGTAGGAGTGATTTAGAATGAGATGGCATTAGGAAACAAATGAGTTGAACACATATTTCTCTAACCACTAGAATTTCGATTGAGCTGACCGATGAGTTTGTGAAAGTTTTATTTGCAAAACAAGGGTATTTCTTTGACTGAAATTTTCTCTTTCTCTTTAAAATTGTTTTTAGGATGCAGAATAGAAAACTGTGATTCTTGCTTTAGCAAAGACTTTTGTACCAAGTGCAAAGTAGGCTTTTATTTGCATAGAGGCCGTTGCTTTGATGAATGTCCAGATGGTTTTGCACCATTAGATGAAACCATGGAATGTGTGGGTGAGTAGTTTTTCATGTAACTTTCAAACTTCAACTTTTAACACCTGTTTCTTGAAAAAAAAAAAGTGCATGCTGAATGTATTCCACCTAAAAACAAAATCTTGTTGTTAATTAGAACTGAAAATTACTTACGTTTTTTTTTTTTTTTTTTTTTGCTGGCTTTCTGAATTCCTTAGGCTTCATGACATTTGGTAGTCTCATATGTTACGTCTTGCTAGGCAATTTGCTAGTTGTACATTTACTAGGTTAAACTATTTAAATGCAGATAGTAATATTTTTATCATATGTGTAATACATCTATTTCTTAATTATCTAATAAATTATTAGTAATACTTACAAATTTTTAATTATCTAATCAATTGTTGGAGAAAAACATTTTGTTTAAAAGGAAAACAAAAATTTCAAGCAGTACCGTATGGTTAACTATTCTATTACTTTTGTTATGTATATTAGTCATGGAGTTTCTTGATTAGCCACTTGTTTTTAAAAAAATCAACTGGAAGGAAAATTTTTGTGCGAAATATATTTCGTTGATGATTGCATGTTGCAAAGTGCATTAAAACAATTTTACTAAATTTAGATACCTAGAATGCATAATTTAATATACACATATATACTGTTTGTGAATATCAATTAGGAATACACATTTCATAAATTTTATATTTTTTGAATGCTTGAAAAACACTCTGGTTTTTGGATTTTATACCACTTATTTATTTTATTTTATTTTTTTACAGGTTTTATACAGTTTTGGTTCTTATAATACAGTTTAAAATTTAAAGCCCTGTCACTACCTACATTTTGACAAATGCCTGAATCTATCTTTAGGTGTCATGGCATCCTCTTACTACGCCCATCACCCATCCCCCAACCCCTGAATTTTTTTGATGTGTTATACATGTGATATGATGTGCAACAGAGCTATGTATTATAAGTGAGGCTTTCCATCTCCTTAAAATGGAGACTTAAAAGAAAATTGAGAACTTTTTTTTGCAGAAATATTGCTAAACTAGTCTATAATTCTATATATGAAAGCTTGCTGAGAGCACATTTAAAACGAGGGATTTTTGAAGAAACGTGTACTTATGCTCCTATTTATGTGAGTTAATACATTCATACAGGCAACACCCTATTAAAAAATAAGGAAGTCACTGGAAGTGCATATTCAGAATGTTGAGCTGGCTTTTGAGAGGCAAGGCCCATGCCCATTACAAACGTTCAGTGGAAACTCTTATGAAACCCTTAAATATAAACACATTACAAATTGAGTCCTATGCATTCCCCTGAATACAAATCCTAGCTTTGAAAAATCTAAGCGTAACCATGCTCCTGAATGCTGAAATACTGTGTGTAGACTCTGGGCCTGAGTCCTCATCTGCTAGTGTAAAGGGGCCTCTTAATGGTGAATTTGATGAGGAAGTTTAACTTTGCCTATTTTTGTCCTTTTATTCCCCCACCCCATCCCAGGGGGTTGGAGGGGAGCCTACTTTTCCACTATATGAATTTACAAAAGGGGATACTGAAAGCTTTTACATATCTAGGAAAAACTTACATTTTTCAATATCTGATCATATTTGTTTACTTTTCAAACTATAGTAATGTACAGCACCAATTTAGGGAATAAGAAATACATGTTGTGGTTTCTAGACACCTATTGAAAGAATTGAGATACAGTAACTCCCTGACTTACGAACATTCGAGTTGTGAACTTTCACAGATACGAACAGACCTCGCATTATGAACATTCGTAGATACGAACAAATCGCGGACGTAGCTCACGTGTCTGCCGGACATTGTCACAGTTGTGCTGCTGTGTGCTTACTGTACAGTGCGATAGTGTACAGTAGTGCAGTGCTCAATCAGAGTGCAGGATGTCTGGAAGCAAGAGGAAAAACAGTGGTGATGTGGAGGGGACTGTTAGGAAGCATCGAAGGTGTATAAGACTCACTTTGTCGGACTTATGAATGAATCCAACTTATGAACGGTCTCCCTGAACAGAACTTGTTCGTAAGTCGGGACTTACTGTAATCAGAAAATGCAAAACAAACACCCTATTATTTTTGCCAAATAATACTTACTTCCATAATAAAACTAACATACTTGTGAATTTCAGTGGGGGCATTCGGAATTAACCTATAACATTTTGTCTTCTGTCATAGTATGAAAATATTTTTTACTGCAGGTTTTCTATATTTCAGTGTCTTTAGAATGGATCAGAAACATCCTTTAAAAAATGAACTAAGACAAATAGAAAGTAATAGTTTTTAAATTGCTTATGTGGCAATTGTTTATTGTAGGTGAAAGTAACCCAAAGAGTTAAAGTTCCTGAAAGTTGTGGGCTGTACAACTTAATTTTTGGTATCTGAAGGTAGGGGAGTCAAGAAACGCTGCTGTATAAATTTGATGATGGTGGAGCAAATGGATACCAAATTGTTATTTGTGTTTGTATTTTTTTTAATCTTTATTAGAAGGATGTGAAGTTGGTCATTGGAGTGAATGGGGAACATGTAGCAGGAATAATCGCACGTGTGGATTTAAATGGGGTCTGGAAACCCGAACACGGCAAATTGTCAAAAAACCAGCAAAAGACACGATACCATGTCCAACCATTGCTGAATCCAGGAGATGTAAGATGGCCATGAGGCATTGTCCGGGAGGTGAGTGTGGGCAGTCACTATCGTGGGCTGTGTGCTTTCTGAAATTTCCTCTTCCCTGACCACCCTCCCTCCCAATAAAGAGTAATTATCTTTGAAGGAAACCTGATCATAACATTGGTGAGAGGGTAAAATTCCATCTTATACTTACTTAGAAATGAATGTGTAAATTGTATGAAGAATATAGAGTGACTATTTCATTTACTTTCATGATAACTTGATAATAATTTAGAAGAGTGTATTACAAATGAGCTTTCTAAATTTCTAAAAGTGTGTGTCTTTTTTTAATTTTTTTTTGCTAATGTAGTATAAAAGCAGGTTCTTATGAAATCAGGCCTTTGCAGATGTTGCTCTGAGGGAAGCAGCCAACTTTCAGTTGAGAAGAGTTTAGATTAGAAAGGTTTATGGAATCTGTAAAATCATCTGCATCATTGCTAGTTGAAGATGACAACTTAAAATAAACTTGCCTAAACACTGGGAGGAATAAACGTTGTCTTAATGTTACCACAATTAGCCGGTTCTCTTTGTTTTGATAATAATTTGTAGAAAACAGCTACTGGTATGTGTGTGTTTATTCATGTCTTTGTAGTAATTGTGCTGATTTGCAGTAATTATTCTGTAATAACAGGATTAGGCCCATTTACAAATTAGGAGAAGCGGTACATAGCTCAGGTGCTGGCTGAAGCTGAGTCAGTCTGTTTGAAATGTCGTTCTCAGCGCTGTCACCGTGGCTCTTAAAGCCTAATCGCTTGTTACCGTTTATTTATCACTAGCGGATGCTATAGTACCAGAGATGAAGTCGGGGTTTTTCTAGTCCACAACATAGAAAAACAAGAAAGGAAGTTGCATTTGGAAAATTGCCCTACAAAATAATCAAAACTTGTTTTTTGCCTCTATTCTTGCTGTTGGTGCCTAGTTTTTCAGCTTTGTGGTTTATAGCCCAGAGAGAGAATATATGTCTGCTTAACATGGATTTATATCTGTAGTACGCTGCCTCATAGAGAATGTCTATGATCCATGGAGGAAGACAAACTTTTAAGGCTGGAGCACTCCGGCCGGCCTTTGAGAACTATTAGATCCAGATTCAGAAGCTACTATTAGGAAGGCCGCTTTTCCTCTTGAATTAGTTTTGCTTTGCTTTGCCGGGTCTTTGAAACAACGTTTTCTTGGGTTTGCTTTTTCACTAACAAGGATGGTTTTGTTCACTTAAACTGGGTATTTTTCAGTCAAAATATGAGAAAATATTTTCTTACAAAACTAATAAGCCACTTCTTGGATAGCTGAGAGCATTTAACCTGCAACCTTGTGCCTAAAAACAAACCCGATGTATTTAGGTATTGGAAATAAAGACTTCCTTTGTTGTGTATTGTTTATATAGCAACCTCCCCCCATGTCTCTCCTAGCAATGTGGCCCCCCAATTGTGGTTTACGTTAATAGCAAAAATTAACCTGAAAATGCTCCTATAACAAACACGCTTATGTGTAACAAGAACCAGCGTATTCCCCTCCCCTCCCAAACTATTTTGCCCCAGCCCCAGTCTTGCTTGAGACTTTTGTAGATAACAGCTAGATTGTTAACCTATAATGTTTATTGCCACCAACAACAGTATGCTGTCTTAATAAAGTACAACCTGACACTGTCAGCAATTTAAATTATGCCAAAATAAATGCTTATGTATCATCTGCTAATATTCTTTTTTTTTTTTTGATGAGTGAACCAATAATGATCTCTGATTTAATTATTCATCTTTAGGTTTTACCAAGTATTATTTATTAGGCGAGGCTGGGTATTGTTCTGATCCCTGAATCTACATTTTCAGTTTAATAAATTCAATTTTTCTATAACCTTTAAAGTGGGTAGATCTAAAAGGCTGTATGGGAATTTGTTTTATTGTTTTATGTTTCCTAAAAAGGTAACGACCATAGAATTGTTGATAGAAATAGAAAATTACTATGCCATAAAATAACTTCTATTTACAAGTGTAACACATGAAAATTAGAAAATTGATTTTGGAACTGAGCACCAGTTGATCAAAATTGGCATAACTTCCAGCGGAGTAGCCCACCTTGCCTCAGGTGAGAGAGCGAAAAGTTCTTTCTTCAGCAGGTCACGGTGATTAATGGAAGAATGGAGAAGAAAACCACCTTATTCCATTTTACATCTTGATTTGATTTTAGTGATCTGCTTTGACAAACCATGCAAAAATGTAAGTCGTAATCAGGTTGGGAATACAGGCGTTTTTTTCAGATCTTTTCAACATATGTATGGATTTTTCTCCCGTTGGAGCCAGTCTTAACCTGATTGCACACAAACAGCCTTAACCTCCTTCACACCAAAGCACCAGCACATTAAAATCAGCTGCTTTTGATTACTGGAAGGCGTATGTTAGAGGCCAGCATAATGGAATAGTCACTAAGTGTATAAGATATTACACTAAACACTATTACAAATGGGAAAACAAATGGATGCAAGATTAAAAGAATAAAACAATATAATCTTTTAGCATGCTTTCCCCTTAATTGTCTTATGCTTATTTGCTTTAAAAAAAATGAATACCTGAAAATATCCTAAGGCATGGATTGATTTACACTTGTAGCTACTCAGTGTTGATTCCCAAACTTGTCTTTTTGATTAGGTATCTTTGCTTTCATTTCTAATGTCATAACCTGTAGAGTTTCTGGAGCTTTTCTGACACTCGTTTTTCAGGATTCTGGTGTGGCGTTCAGGAGATCTGAGTCTCTGTACCCCTGTCAAGTCATCAATTCTGTGACCCTTGGCAAGTCACTTAACCTCTTTTGGCCTCTGTTTCCTCATTTGTAAAATCGAGGGTATTGGGGTAGGCGAGCTCTCAGATCCAGTCCAGTTCTAAAATCCAGTGATTCTAAGATTAATTGCCAAAACATACGGATGAGTTCTGTGGTTGTCATGTGAAGGGTGAGGAAGAGAACTGTAAGCCCAAGAGCACTGTTTTACAATCAAATAACCGAAGACTCTTTCAGCAGCTGTACTGTGCGTTTGCCAAGCCTTTTCCATCTGGCAGCTCCCTCTCACTCTCCTCTTCCCTCCTCCTTCCTTCTCACAGAGAGTCAGCCCTCAAAGAATCAGCAAGACTCTGTTTAAATCCACATATGACCTGTGGTGTAGCTACCAAGATAGCAGGAGGATAGAGAAGGAGGAAAGGGGCAAACAGAGGGGCACATAAAAGACCATGAAAGAAAAGGGACCAGTGAACAGTGAGTGAAAGAAAAATTATATCGAGCAATGTATGTAGGAAACAAGGGTGAAAAAGAGTGGACTGCTTAACAACGAAGGCTGTCCTCACTATATAGATATGCTTTCCCTCCCTCCTACCCTGAGTACACTGATTAAGAGAACTCATCGGGTTGGGACTAATTAGTTCTATTAATATATAGCCTGCATCTTTAAATGGAAGGAATTTGAAGTCTGAACCATGTTGTACATTAGGCAAAATATTAATGGAAAATATAGACATCCTATTATATATTTAAATGACAAATGGAAGAACAAGATCATGGATGTGGAACAAATTCAAAGTTGGAAGATGCTCATGTATGGGGGAAAATGGTGACAATTGGAGGTGGCTGTAACCCTTCATTCTTTCACATGATTGGCCAACCCAACCTCAACCTGAAATATTGTCTCCTGTCATTATTTTGTGAGGTCTCATGACAACTGATTTTAATTTATCCACTAGGTATTACTCTGCACCAATCATTGGTCTAGGCATAATATTGCTCCGAGTCCTTATAGAGCTCTTTCTAGTGGGAATCATGGCAATAAAGTGGATGAGTGCATAAGGTCGTATGGGGAATAGAGGCTGTGAAGAAAAATAAAGCAGCATATAAGCTAGTGAAAGTTGTTTGGGAGTATTGTTTTATGTAGGCTGTCCAGGGAAATTGAGGGAGTGCCATTTGGTTGCAGATCTGAATGAAGGAGAACTTTTGAAGACTTAAGGGAAAATTTTTTAGCTATTGATTCAATGGTTATGTCATGTGACTATCCCTGATCCTCCCACTGTATGTTAGGGGAGAGACGGAAGCTGAGACCTAGGGAGGCTCTGACTGGTCCGAGGTGAAATCTAGCAAGTTTCTAGTTGGTAGAGCCAAGAGGAGAACCAGTGCTTTGTTGTCTAGGAAACACAAATTTTCCCATGCCTTTTCCTTGTGCCATACAATAAAAATCAAAGATAAAGCCATGGTTGTCCAACATCAAAGTAGCCAACTTTAAACTATTTCTACCCCCAACCGACACATCGTTTTACTTCTGCTCTACAAATACTTTTGTAAAACATGGCACCCTGCCATCACCACCCCCTCCCAACAGCTTCCAACTTGAAATATCTAGTGAAACATACCCCAAGGGTCATTTCTTAAATGCCAAAGTGCTGAGCCACTGGCTTTGCCTTTTGGTTCAGCTGCTCCTCCTAAGACCTCTTCTTCTATCATTTACAGTCATCGGTCCTCAGTTTGTTGGGGGGTGGGGTGGGGGGAAAGGGGCTGACGTCAAGATTGTTCTTTCCATCCTCAGCCTTTCAAAGCTGCCCTCTAGCTGAGGCTGCCTTGTGCTGAGTCCCACCCAGATTCATCCTTGCCCTCTTGCTTCCTGGTCTGCACAGAATGCTGGGATCCGAGCCCCACCCCCACATCGAGTAGCTCCGTGCCCAGCATGGTTTTTCTCTTTCTGACACATTGAAGCAGCCAGACTGTTAAAGTAATTTAGGTGATGCTTTGCCATATGCTCAGATAGCTTTTTGTCCCTTTTGCCCGTGGGCTGTCCAAACTCACCATACCTCAGTTGTTGGTAACAATATAGTGCAATTCTTTAAGCCCTAGTTGTATTTTTCTCAGGACTGTGCTAGAATTTAACTATAAAATCCACTGCTATATACTATTTCAACTTGAAAATAACTTATTCATCTGGTTAGACCTTACTTGACCATTATCTGCTTTTATTAAAAAGTGGCTTTTAACTTGGTAGGAAA